GTAGTGGAACTTTTCCCTTAAGGAACCTGTCACTGAAGCTGTAACTGTGAAAACCTTGCTATTAAATATTCCAAAGACAAAAGTTGTGTATGGAAAAGGATGTAACCAAGGTTTAGAAGTTAACGTGAATCCTAAGGAACATGACTTTAATTATGGATTTCTCCATTTAGGCAAAAAAAATGGGCTTTAATTCTCTTGTCCACAACCATTGGGTCTAAAATAGCGTAAAGTATGTGGGTCTAAATCTTGGTGAAGAAAACAGTTACTGCTAGTACTTGGTTCTGCTAACAAGTGAAATTCTGGTTCGGGTTTTAAGCAGCGTCTGCTTCATGTCCTGCAGACTTATGTCTATTCTCTTACAGATCCATCTTTTTACTAACTGAAATGTGCAACTGAGTCCAAGTTGAGAAGTTTTAACATTAAACTGTTTGGATCACTATCTTTACCAAGCAATTTGCTGTTATTTTTCATCATTGCCATGTGAGGTAGAGAAGCTTGACTTAAATTGCATACTGGTGATTGTGAATTAGAGTTCAGAGAGAATTGGAGGATGCATAGAACAAAATCATACCACGAATTTAAGAAAGAAAAGGAAACTTAGTCTCTGTCACAGAGTAAAGTGGATTTTCAAGTTCAGTTTGTACTGCATTGAGTATTCTGGGGTGTTTTGTGGTGTTCCTTTTTTTCTTTTTACAGAACTGCCTTGCCTTGCAGAATATGTGGATGGCTTATGGTATAGGGCAAAGCTCCTCTCTATTATACAGCTTATCCCTGTTCAGATTCTGGTTCAGTTTGTTGACTACGGTAATTATTTAGTTGCCCCAACAAACAGGTAAATATATAAGAAAAAATGCATGTAAAATATCTTTGTGTATGTATATATGCACTTACATTATTAAATATGTACTTGCAAATAAATATTTTACATCTATTATTATTTATTTTTATATAACTGCATATATATTTTTTATAATTTAGTGTTGGATTGCAGAGAAGGTGGGTTGGCTGGTTAAATAACTTCTGTCTGCAGAGTGTGGGGTTGTGCACCTGCTTCCGTCTCAGGTTGTTCTGAAAAACCCATTATTATAAGATCAGATTTCTCCATTATCTCTGCTTAACCTGTGAGTAGGCTCAGGAGTATAATCGGCTTCTGCACCCAAGAAGCTTACTCAAAACAAGGTGCACAAAAAAAATCCTCTGATCCTGTGAGAACTGCAGGCTGCACAGAAGATAGCTGGGGAATAAGATAAAAGGATAGGGGAGTATCTGAGTAGGACACACCCTGCCCTGCTTGTGTGGAAAATGGAAGTTCAAATCCCTGTTCTGTCTGGTACTGAGCCACACTAAGAACTGCTCCTGTGCTGACACACAGATGTCAGCTGAGTGTATCAAACACCTCAGGCTTTTAGGGTCCCCTAAACTTGTCTGAATTTCTCATATACGCGTATATATATGTATACACACTCACAATGAATATATGTATGTGTGTAGATAGTACTGTCATACACCTGTATATAATACATATATATAGTGCATATGTACATATTTTTTATATGTACTGCTTATTCACACTGACTTGCTCTTGAGTTCATTGGGGAATCTACAAATCGTTGCTGAAGACAAAGGGGGATTTGAACAATTTCCTGCTTCGCATACTGTTGGGGTTGTGGGAGATAGTGTGTTTTATTTCAGGGTTGCATTTCCTGCTCTGCTTCCCCATTCTTTTGCTTCTGGGTTAGAGAGATAGAAGAATGGGGAGATGATAATACAGACCCAAGGTACCTATTTCCAGTAGTGTGTCTAGAGCACATTCAGGCATGAAGCACTTTGTACCTGACATGAAGGTTTGTGGAGCCTGCACTGTGATGATTTGCACTTGGATTTCTGTGCTCAGGTCTTTGTTAGGCACTGGAGACTCCTCCCCAAGTGCTGTGGTAGGGAGGCAGTTTGTGCCAGGTGGGCTGAGAGGTCTGTAGGATGCTGGACTGCTTTGTGATAGTTACTGTGCTAAGTCCTAACTGTGCTAAGGCCTGGGCCTGCCTGCCAGAGGAATTGTTCAGTCTGATGCTGGCATGTTACCACAGAGCAGGGAGTCTGATCCCAGTTTCCACACTGTAAACCTACTACATGAACCATTCAGCAGTCTGCCCTTACATCCTTACTGAGAGTTGAGTTTGACAGGTGGATTGTTGGGGACAAACACTTCTCATTTTTGTTGTAGATTGCGTCACATACCTTACTGTCTGCTGAAGTACCCTGTTAAGGCAGTACGAGTTCTCTTGGCTGGATTTAAACCTGCTTCAGATGACAAAAACACGAAAAGAATTCCTTATTCCCCAGAATGGAGCCTGAATGCATTGTGGGCTATGGTGGACTGTGTGGAAGGAAGACGTCTCTCTGCTTCCATACTTGTGAGAATCACTTTGTTCTTTTTTCTTTTTTTTCTTTTTTTTTTTCCCCTCCTAGCTCTTGCTCAGCCTAAAATTCTTACTAGCACTCTAATTTTTAAGTATTTATTTTACTGTTTACCCTCATAATTTAAAACTGAGAACCATTTACTTTGGAGGAAGGCTAATGAAGAGAGAAAATGATGTGGTGCTCTTTCTAAACATGCAGTCAAAAAGTTTTTGAGCATTCTTGCTGTTTTAAAACCAGTTTTATTTACTTAAAAACTGTATATTCACAGTTCCATTTAAGCAGTGAGTGTAGCCAGTAAAATAACTTTCAGTATTGGTTAGCTTGAGATTTAAATCTGTTACTGTCAACTCTGTCAACTTTCAGACTCTTTCACCAGAGGTCACCATTTCTTTGTATGGAGATGACAAAAAACTAGTTCATCTGAAACTGATAGAAATGGGACTTGCAGAGTTGGATGAGTGACATGTAAGTACAGTGACTATGAACTACAAGTTCATACTATTCTGGAAGGATGATTTCAGAAGTTTAAAGCAAAGTATAAACTGCCAGTAATGTTGACAACTAGAATTTATTTTAAAAAAATCCCTTCTGTCCACTTTGACTCTGTTAATGAATTATTTAATATAAAACAAAAAGCTGTTAAAAAAATTATTTTATTTACATACTATTACTGAAACCCACAGTTACAGGTTTAAGAACTAGCAAGTACTGAAACAAAGAGCCCTAAGGTGATACAACATAAAGAGCTTTTGCTGCCAGTAACTGAAGAAGGTAGTTTGCAGATGTGTGGCAGAGCGCTCTGCCCATATGATAAAAATTAATTTTATTTTAGGCATTTGATCTCAATGGCAGGTGCCAGTGGTTACTCAGTCAAACATCCATGAATGACATGTTGATGTCCATAGATCTAGTCAAACATGGAATATTTTTAATTAAGAGCTTTACACCGTGTTATCCATAGAGAACAGCAGAGACTTGGATTTTCAGATTTCTTGGCTGACTCTCTTATCTAGTATTTTTTCCCTCCCATTTAATAAGCACTCTTCTAATAGATGTTTACAGATAATGTTCCAGACATCCTTTGATCTTGAAATAGTGAAACTTTATATTCACATCTCAATCTTTTTTGACCATGGAGTCCTAAGTATTGTTCTGTGATACCCTTTTCACAGGAGTGGGTAGAACTAGATGTACAGTGGTAAAGAAACAGATAAAAAGCTGATGCTAGGCACAGTTGTTCTAGTATCTTGTTAGAAGACTTGAAGGGAAGATGATAGTTCTGTTATTGTGACGTAACTCCTCCTTGTGTTTCAGGTTTATTTGATGACAGACATCTCCAGCACCAGTCTAGTATAGGGAGCAAACAGTTTGGGTGGGGGAGCACTACTGTCTTTATTCCGAACCATGTTTGCATTGTTGCTGTTTCCTGTTTCTGTTGTTACACCTCTTTCACTTCAGAGTTTAGGGAATAAAGTTTGTTCAGCATGCATCTGAAAGCTTGTTTTCCTTTACTGCTACAGTGTGTAAGGTTTGTTTGGATGTCTCTATTGTACTAAATCTTCTACATGCAAAGCTCAGCCCCTTTCAGTCTCCCTGTGGAAAGTTTTGTCTAGATCATGGAGGAAAACACATGCACAATGAAGACTCCACAGCCTCTCCAGGCAACCACTTACAGTGCCCAGTCACCCTCACAGTAGAAAAGCCTCTTGCTGTTCAGAGGGAGCCTCCTGTGCTCCAGTTTGTGCTCACACACACATATCCTTACACATCTGTATCCTCAAGCTCCTATGAAAGAAAGCAAGAGTACAAAGCTGACCTTAAGTAGTGGTGCCCAGGTGTGCTGTGAAGGCAGCTTACCGGGCTAGACAAGCAGTTCTCACTGCTTCCCCATGAGTACAAAATGGCATAGACAAAGTAAGGACAGAGCTTGCTTTCACTGAGGAGAAAAGGGGGGAGGGAACAGAAGGGACAAGGTGAAGAAAGTGAATACCTTCTACTGTGCAAGAGAATGAAATGAAATTTTCACCATCCACAGAAATGGAATTGGAGCAGCCAGCCTGGTAGCAACCCTTTTCTAGAGTAAGTACTGCAGAATTTTAAAAGACAAGTCACCTTAAAAACATCTGTGAGGTGGGAGGACTGGATGAGATGACCTTTGTTAATCTTCTGGTGTTTCTGAGTAGCTTGGAGAATTAACTTGTCCCCCAGTCTCAACCTGTCCTAGCCTTATGAATATAGATGAGCAGTTTATAGAACAGATTTTGTGGTCTGTCAATGCTGTTGCCTCCTAACTGAGAGATGAAAAAAAAATATTACGAAGGAAAACGAATAGCCTAAGGCTGACTGAACAGGAGTGCTGCCATTCATTTACTCTTTTAAGTCAAGCAGTAAGTAAACTGACACCCAGGCTCTTAATTCTGGCCATCTGCTGTATTTCACCACAGCAGGAGTTAAAACAGCATGACTTGGATTGAGGAATCTTCTCTTAGATGTCTAAAATAAGGTAATCTACAGCTGTTAGATTTCCTCTGACAGCTGATTTTAAAAAACAGCCTTTAAACCACACATGCCAGAATACTGAATCAATAAACTGCTCCTTAAAAGTTGGAGTGGGGAAAAAAAAACTGGCAAAACTCTGATGTAGCACTCACTTAAAAATAAATTTATTTTGTAAAAACTATAAACACTATATATACACAACAAGCTTAAAGGGTTTTTGCTTCTTGTTTACAGAAATGTACATTATTTTTGCTGGTGTCTTAACACTTCAGCAGTTTTGACACTGCCTACAACTTAGTGTCCATGATAATATTTCCATCCTTGTCCTTTACTCTGACTCTTCCAGAGCCATACTTCGTCTCCTGCTGTCCATTCATGTACACAGTCTTGACAGAACCATCTGGGTATTCCCGTCTCTTGAACTGTGATGTGTGTAGTTCCCTCTGGCCATTATTGAACTCTATAGTTTTGCTTCCGTCTCTGCATTAAAGGGGAAAAAAAACAACCAATCCTTTGTAAGATCATACATAGGCTTAAGATGAATCTCAGAACAGCAACTGTGCAAGCCTAAATGAAGTAAGAATTTTAAGAAATACAGTATTTGTGGAAAAATCTGTTAAATATCGTCGCAGCTGGTCATATTCAAAAACCTGTTTCTGCAAAACTGACATGGCTTCTTGTGAGCCTCTAATGCTCTTTCTCTGCACTAAATCCATTGCTGCAACAGTCCAAGAAAAGATTAAAACTGGATGTTTTGGGCACTGTCAGTCAGACCCACTTCCTAGTCCTGTTCTCCTGTGTTTTCTAGAATTACATACAAATTAGAAAAGTCTCCCAGGTCGGGACAATACGCTCAGGCATTCAGGCTTTGTCTCCTCCAGGCTACCAGAAGAAAAGCCCAAAACTCAAGCAGTAAATACATGTTCACAGTACAGTACATTCAAATGTAAACTGGTAGAACTAGATCTGTCACCATATAGTGCCCCTCTCCCATCCCCAGGCCACGGGACCCAAGAAGGGAAAGCTTACGGCTGAACACGAACAATGGTACCGTCTGGAAGGATACTTTCTTCTTGTCCATCTGTAAATAAGTTCTTAATAGTTTGATCAGGGAAGGTAATTTCCTTCTTGCCATCAGGATAATGCTTCTCTGAAATGTATTTTGAGACAAGATGCTTATTACACAAATACATAGATATCTATGGGCACTAATTCTGACAGGTGGGTTGGATGTTTTCTTTACCTATTTGTCCATTTGAAAACTGCAAGACCTCTAACCCATCAGAGTATGTAGTATGTGTAGTCTTAGCATCAGCATAATAATAAATCTGCAGAAAACAGTTCAGATTTAACATAACTAGTAAGAAATTTTAAGTACGTGTGCACATGTATTTAATAAGTGTTTCTTTATATATGTTTAATAAATATTTATTGAAAAAGCCTGAAGATGCATGATACATACCACTGTTTGATCAGGCATAACCTGCTTCACATCCCCATTGAAGAAGGTTATAGTTACAGTTTTTCCATCAGAACCCACTTTTTTCCATGTTCCATTGGGAAAAAATACGAGGTGACAGCCATTTTTCAAAACTTGCTCAACCTAATGAAAACGTTGCAGAGAGGTTAGTATTGAGCCATCATACTTTATGTTGCCATTCATCGTTCATAACAGCTGTCTTCCTGAATTTCAGAGTGCTAAGCTCTTATTTTACCTTTCCATCAGGATAAGTAGTTTCTCTCTCTATCTCTTCACTGCCCATATATGCAGGACCAGATGGTAGTGACACATGAGCTTCGTTAGGAGAGATGTCCTAAGATGACAAAAAAACTAAATCAAGCTTTGTATACATTTTTTCCCAGGCTGACAGGTATTTTAGGAAACAAGGAGCATTGTGGGAGGAAGACAAGTGTGGGAAGGCATAACCACAACCTGGAGTTTAAGCAACTCCTAGTATAATTCAAATGGTAAAACAGACTCAGACTCAGCAATAATTGGTTGACCCTGGTCAGCTGTAGTCTGAACTAAAGTGGAATTCAATGGTGTGTTGTAGCATGGTGCTCAGTTTCCTTAAGAGATCCACATTAAGGTATGAAATGATGAAATTCCATAAAGCCTGAATGTTACCTACAGCAATTAATGTAAGAATTAATTCAACTACTTACAAGATCCTTGCACAGTTACCCTACATGGAGCATATAAACACCCATCTTTTTTAACTTTCTTAAACGGTAAAACATTTTGCAAAATTCAAAAGAGCAAGAAATTATTAGTTTATTTTCTTTCCTGAGCGAAAGAATAATGCATCTACTAGATATAGGTAAAACACTCTTCATTGACTAGCCATTTTCTGGTATGACCGTAAAAGTTGAACATAAGAAGGTGAGTCAACAGCCTTATCCGTCACCCTCCATATACTCAATTAAATACAAATAACATTTTCTTTTAGGCTTTTTCCTCCCCCTTAAAAATCAGGACTTACTACCATAAAAGTCTTAGAAGAATCTTCTAGTGCTGTTACTGTCTCAGAGTTGCTTCTGTCCTTAGCAGGTCCGGATGCAGGTGTTCGAGAAAGTTTTCCTACTCAGATACATGTAACAGTTAAATTGGACACTGAAATTAAAGTATGGTTTAAGTGTTACAGTTATATATGAGGTCAAGTTGTACAGGACACCTACATTTCTTAAGTGCAGTAGTAACTGAAAGCAGCATATTTATTAAAAGAATCAGCATGTGCCAATAAAAGAATCAGTCACTACCATTGCTTCTTGTGTCAGCAAGAATCTACAACTGAAGAATCATTGCAATAGGCATAAACACTTTCTTCTCCTATTTCATCTCTGTAGATTTACAAAGGATTCCCTCCCCTCTCCCCAGGAATTTAGACAACATTTTTAGTTACGCCTTGTAATGAATAAAATAAGATTAATACAACCTTTTTAACAGGAACTGATGAGCATACTTTTCCCATGTCTCTCCTGTCAAATTACCAAAATAAAAACACCCCCAATTCTGGAACATACTCCTCTAACATGTAACACGATGGTTGGTTGAGCTGTCAGAAGTGTCAAAAAATACCCTGCAGTTACTTTCCATTGATTATTCATTAGGAAGGCAAACAGGCTTTACTCCTAAATGTGAACAAGGAATACCTGCTACAGCATTGCCCATATGATTATAGATCCTGATAACAGAAGATTCAGAAGAGACACAGCAGTTCCGATGCTCTCAACACAGTCATGTAGAAGTTAGGAAGAAATTCTTCACTGGGAGGGTGGTGAGACACTGGAACAGGTTGCCCAGAGAAGCTGTGGATGCCCTACCCTGGAAGTGTTCAAGGCCAGGTTGGATGGGGCTTTGAGCAACCTGGTCTAGTGGAAGGTGTCCCTGCCCATGGCCAGACGGTGGAACTAAATGATCTTTGAGGTCCCTTCCAACCCAAACTGTTCTATGATTCTGTGATCTAATCAACAGCTTGGAGAACACAAATGATGAATGTAATTTTCTGTAATTTTGGATTACAGAAAACACTTTCTGCTATGCTCCAGACTACCAAATATGACCAGAAGCATTCTCACTCTGAGATTGGTCTCATCACAGCTTTCTCCAGAATCCTACCCTATGCTCAAGCCCATTACTACTTTTGAGGTGGTGATGCACTCCACAAAGCAAAAATTCACATTAGTTTTAAAGACTTAACAGAATTCTCTGATCAGAAAAACATTTTTACCTTTTGCCTGTGAATAACTTTTGCCATTCATTTTGCTGCCCTTCTGTACTGGAAGAAGCAGAGATGCAGTTTGACTTTTGGAGCCTCTATTTGGTAGACACTAAAAGAAAGGGAGTATCTGTGGTTTATGTGACATAAAACTGTTCATACAACATCAACAAAATTTATTGACCATATGACATGAAAGTTAGTGGAAGCTTTTTTCACCAACTATACATTTTTGAGACTTGGTCAGCAGAAAGGCTTATCTCATGTAGCCCAAGCTGCACTTCAGAGCTCTTCCTCCATCTGCTCCCTCACTATCAACAACTACGGAATGTTAATTTGGTGCAAGCAATCCAGAATAATAGTTACAGTTTCAAAACTTAACATAACTGCTTTAGACAGTTGTGAACTCCCTGCTTTTTGTGGTTGATCCTTAAGGGGCAGAAGGTCACAGGCTAGACCCCACCAATGATTTTTCTCTTATAACTGCATAATTTTGAATTTCTAAGATGAGTTCCTCAACAAAAGGGATGTTGCACATTGTGAACATTCACATCTGGAAAGAATGTGACATTAACAAAATTCTCTGTCACCACTACTGTAGTCCCCACATTAGTAAATTAAACAGCTAAGTTGTAGCTATTGGAATCCAAGTATATGACAAAACCCATGAGTATTCACACAGATATATGCAAAACACCAAAATTAATAACGTACAGATTCTGCTCTTTTTAAAGCCATCGCAGAGTTTTCTATTTTCCTCTTGCTTCCAGCAGCTTCTGTTTTCTTCCAGGCTTCTAGACGGAACTTCTCCATAATTTTGACTTCTTCTTTTAGCTCCAAATTCTCATTTACTAAAGCTTCTATTTGATCTTTCAGGCGCCGATGGGTAGTTGACCATTTTGCCTCTTTTCGTTTTAAATCTTCCTGTAACTCTGCAATCTGTTGTTTTAAAGCCTTAGAAAAATGCACATTTAAAAATTAAAGAGCTTTCATTTTTTAATATATCAAAATATTTTTTTAATTTCTAATAGAAATATAAGCACACAAAAAAGGCACAAGAGTGGCAAAAAAGTAAGGTTAACTTAGTAGTGCAGAGGGTGAAAGACAGGAGAAGTTTTCTTCCCTGAAAGAGATTTACTTTAGACTACCAACTTTATAAGCTCAACTTCTATCACAGTAATTGTTTTTATTGCTCTCTTGGCATCCTTTACACTTAATAGATTGGCCAGTACAAATACACTTGAGACAAACATTAAATCATTAAGGCTACCCTTGACAGGGCCCTTCAAAAATCTTGGCACAGGAAAAACAAGGGAGGACACAGTCACACAAAACACACATAAATCTGCACAGCCAGCTCAGTCTTTTGAAGTAAGGAAAATGTGTAGGGAAGGATGAGGGAAATCCCTGTGTGGTGCTTAATGTGACTTGTCTGTACATCTCATACACCATACATCCTGACAAGGAAGGAACAAACAATCTCTGATACCAGAAGATAAAAATGTAACTCTGAAAATTGTAGAAGATTACTACTACATCGACTGTACAACAGTTAGAATAAAACTGTGCAGCTCTACTTTTCATTTTGATCCACTACCATGAATAAAAACTTACAACTTAATATTTTAACTCTGGTAATTTTGTTTCAAAGTTGAAGAGCATTCTATCACAGTCACGAGCAGTTTTTACTATGGAAATGTGACAAAAAGATTTGCTTGTTAGGAGTTTTTGCCTTAAAAACCATCAAACAACCTTGTGAAGACTGTAGTTTTCTTCCTCAATTAGAATGATTTAGATTGGAAAAAACCTTCAAGATCATGGAATCCAACTGTAAACCCAGCACTGCCAAGTCCACCACTAACCCATGTCTGCTACCAGTTCCCATCTTGGAATCACTTGTAAACTTTCAACTAAGTTATAACATAGTTGTTGACTGCCTTTAATTGAATTTCCATGTTCCTGTGTGGACTAGAAGAATAATACGTTCTTATACCTGAATTTCATCACGTTCTTTTTTATCTGGAATTGCTCTAGCTTCTGCAGTATATTTTTCAAAAACTTTGCGCTCCTTTTGCAGTTTTTTCATTTCCTTTTTTTTATATTCTTCTATTTCAGCCAGTTCTTGGGCTTTCTGCTGCTCAAAGTCTGCAATTTCTTTCCTATAATTATGAAACAAAGTTGTTGTTTTAGCCCAAATCTACTTCAAATCTGGATTTTAAGAAAAAAAATGAAGACTCAGTATTTTGTGGTCATTGATTCCAACCCAACATCTATTACCTCCAGGAAGACTTACCTATAAATGGTATTACTTATTTAAGGAGTAAGAATTATCACACAGTTAGCGTTTGGAGTCCAACAATTTATATTTTTATATCTTCTAGTCACAAAAGTTATCCTGAATTTAGAAAAGATTTGGCTAAATATTCCATTCCTCTAAAAGTACCAGGGAAAAGAATCTGCCAATAGCAGAAGGTCACAAATCAAACATCAGCCAAAGACACAATACTGTTTCCAAACAAAAGTGGCTGTGTTAGGAACAGGTGTGCCACATTTAAGTCATCAGAGGCAATTATTCTGCTCTGTATGTTGCTTATAAATGCCCCAGTACAAATTAAAAGATTCTCAGTTTGTACAAACATCCAATCCAAAGCAAAAGCATCAGTCATGTTAGTGTGAAGATCAGTTCTGCAAGACCAATTTAGGACTGTGTTATCCCTCAGAACAAAAGTACACAAATTCTCTCAAGTATAACTTTTAATGGTAACATATTAACCTAGCAGAGATTCTTAATGCTATAATTTCTGTCTAAGTCTCTTGACCAATCTCCACTGTAACTGATACACATGAATTGTTTACCTGTGCTGTTGGTAACTAACTGGACATCGTGGTAGTCTGCAACATACTATGTAAGTGAATGCAACCAAAATGTTTCATTTAAGAATTACCTGATATTTGCCAAGGCCTGCTCTCTTTCTTCACGGAGTTTACTTAGAGTTGTGTTTTCAGCTCGGAATCTCTCTATTTCAGTTTCCAGTTCAGTGAGTCTCTCTCTCAGTAGCTGGGATGGAACAGTATTTCCTGTCAAAGCACAGCCAGATACATGTTATCTAAGCAGCATCCATAAGACTGAAGAAAACAATTATTACATACCAGCTTAAAAATTGTAAAAAAAAAAAAAAAAATTTTAGAGACAGTAGTAACATTGTAAACTCTTCTACTATTCAAATAACACAGAAGTTAATGTTTTAAAGCATTCTGTACTATTTACTGAAGTACCTCAAATATTGAGTAGATCTATCACCCCTGTAGTACTTTTAAGTATTGAATACATTGGTCATCTTCATAGAACTAACACATATTTGGAACTGGATGTGAAGGGCTTCACATCAAACCAGAGATAAAATGAAGGCATAAGGGTATAATGAATGTACATGGTAAATGTGTATGTACATGTACATACTATATATATGCACCAGTATGAAGGCATATCAAATAGGAAAGTTTACGGTTATAAGTTTTTTCAAGTTTTACTTACAACAGTGTCTGTTCACACTCAACACTGATGTGAAATCTCTAGCAGAGGCTGATAATAGGAAGGTTTTTTGTGGGCTTTTTTGCCATCCCAGTTTGCTGTCCAGTCCCTACTTAACAATCCCAGGGTTTTAATAGTCTGAGTATGCAACATAAGAGCCTAAATATTGATGTTGCAGTGTAGATACTTGCCTCGTTCATCCTTAAATACTCTCAAATTCTGTAAAAAAACCCCTACCCCTCTTCCTGCAAACATCTAGCAGGTACCTTTAAACAACCCTTTAAACAACACAACCTTTAAACAACACAATCCATTCTCCAGAAAACAATAAGTAAAAGTAGCAGCTTTCCTATGAATCACAGAATATTCTGAGTTGGAAGGGACCCACAAGGATCATTGAGTCCAACTCCTGGCCCTGCACAGGACAATCCAAAAAATTACACCATGTGCCTGAGAGCACTGTCCAAACGTTTCTTGAACTTTGTCAGGCTTGGTGCTGTGACCATTTCCATGCGGAGCCTATTCCAGTGCCCCACAACCCTCTGGGTGAAGAAGTTATTCCCAGTATCCAACCTAAACCTCCCCTGACACAACTTCAAGGCCATTCCCTTGGGTACTATCACTGGTCACCACAGAGAAGACATCAGTGCCTCTCACAAGGAAGTTGTAGACAACAATGAGGTCTCCTCTCAGTCTCCTCCAGGCTGAACAGACCAAGTGACCTCAGCCACTCCTCATACAGCTTCCCCTCAAGGCCCTTCACCATCTTTGTTGCCCTCCTTTGGACACTCTCTAATAGCTTGTGTTGTGGTGCCCCAAACTGCACACAATATTCAAGGTGAGGCCGCCCCAGTGCAGAGCAGAGAGGGACAATCCCCTCCCTCAACCAGCTGGCGATGCTTTGCCTGATGCCCCCCAGGACAGGGTTGGCCCTCCTGGCTGCCAGGGCACTGCTCACTCATATTCAGCTTGCTGTCAACCAGCACCCCCAGGTCCCTTTTTGCAGCACTGCTTTCCAGCATCTCATTCCCCAGTCCGTACAAATGTCCAGGGTTGCCCCATCCCAGGTACAGAATCCGGCACTTGCCCTTGTTAAACTTCATACAGTTGGTGATTGCCCAGTCCTCTAATTTGTTGTTGAGGTCTCTCAGCAGAGCCTCCCTGCCTTCGAGGGAATCAACAGTTCCTGCCAATTTAGTATCATTGGCAAATTTACTCAGTGTACCTGCAAGTCGTATGTCCAAGTAATTTATGAAGATGTTGAAGAGCACAGCACCTAAGATGGAGCCCTGTAGAACCCCATTGGTGAGAGGTCTCCAGTCTGATGTCACCCCATTCACTATTACCCTTTGTGCCTGTCTCATGAGCCAATTGCTCACCCACCACATGACATGTTTATCCAGCTGTGTGTTGGACATTTTGTCCAGAAGGATACTGGGAGAGATGGTATCAAAAGCTTTTCTGAAATCAAAAAGATAACATCAACTGGCTTATCATAAAAACCTAAACAAAATCCTAAACATTCACTGGAGCAGCATTTGAAACCAAGATCATAACCTTACAGACCGAAGATTTAAATGGGAGGCTGCGCCTTCATGCTTTCACTGAACAACTCCATGTTTTATGATAGCAGAAACACAACAGCTTCAACAGGAAGTTTTAGAGGCAGTCCTCCACAGACTGTAACCATATAGATGAAATCAACTTGGGCAAAGCAAAGAAATGAATCCACATTTCCCACATTCCACATGAATTCTCTAGATACTATACTACACTTTGAAAATATGGACAGGGCTGCCACTTCCTTGTATTTTTTAAGAGGAACAAGCTAACCTAGCAGTGCATAGCATTAACCTACTGTAGTGTTAAGGGAGGTACCACTTCATTTTTGGCTTGCCTTTGATACTTTCCTTGATTCAGAAACAGTGATCAAGCAACTTCAATGAGCTGATCTGACAAAAAACTAGCCTCCAGAGGGGAAAAAAAGAAAAACTAAATAATAAAATAAAATGTTTTCACAAATTATAGTCATTCTGCAATCTGCATAATCATCAGACCTGGCATCAGACACGCAACCAGAGATGTAAGGGGAGAATAGGGCCATTCCCTGTGGCAGAAGTCTGTACTTACACCCTTTGGTGCAATGTCAGGTTCCAGCTTAAGCGCTAGAAGGAAAGACTTGTAATATATGTCCTCTTCAACATTTCCTACCAGTTGCTGTTCTCTCACCTCCTGGATCCTGTTCCACATTCGATTTGGTTTCACGTTCCAAGTGACAGCCTGCCTTCTGTTTCGGTTTCAGTGAAGGAAACAGTTTCATCATCAGGTTTGATGCAGGAGGTCCATTTGAATCACTGTCCACTGCAGACTCTTTGGACATTTCATCTGCTTTCTTTGAGGCAACTTTTCTCTTTATTGCTTTATCTGGGACAGGTGAATCATTCTGTCTGGGAAAGTCCATCTGCGAAGGTATTCTAGTGTATTTTTCAGGTAAATCACTGCTAACATAATTTTCATCAAGATCACTCCATGTTCTTTCATCATCAAATTCAAACTTACTCCTCCTTAAACATGACACACTTCTGTGATCGTCTGTAGCTCTTCTAATCTTTTGCTTTGACAGTGCACTGCAATCTTTGTCTGACAAGCCAAGGTCAGCATCTCCATTTATGCTTTCTTTGCTGATGTCTGTAACAGAACTTCCACAATCAAAAAATTCCGGATCACTTTCCCTATGGCTCACAAAGGATGTCTTAGCATCCTTGTTGTCATGCTTCAGTGTGGCCTCAAATCTACTCTCAGAATCTGCAGTAGTATCACCGCTGCCCTCATCTTCATTTACAATCCAGTGATTACTTTTTAAAGCAGGAGCTGTTTTCACAGAAGAAGCTGAAAATATTACATTGTCTGTTTTATTCAATGGATCCTTCATTCTAGAATCTGCTCCTGAATTTGAGACTGAGTGCATACCTGGGCTATTATGTATATTTTCCTGTGCTATGCAGTCTGCCCTTTCATTTTTCTCATTTGTGAGTTCGACAGCCAGCACCTTTACTTGCTGCTGTTTTGCCTTTATTGGGGTAGAAGACATTCTACGGCCTTTTAAAGTTTGCAGATCTCGATCCAAGACCCTTTGCACAAATGAGGAATTACTTGAGAAAGATAATTCATCTGCAGCTTGTTCTAGAAACAAAAACTCATCTAATTCTAGAGTCTCTTTTTCTTTTTCTTTTTCCCAGTTCTCCAGCTTATTCTGAAATGAAATTTCAAAAGATAGTTCTGAATCTTTTACAGGGTGACCTATAGTATGTTTAGAATTAGAGAAGGCACTGGCCAGCTCTTGAGACAACTGAGACTTTTCTGTGCCAGGCAATTTGTCTTTGATTTTGCCAGTATTAGACTTAGCAAATTCTACTCTGTTCTCTTTATTTTCTGTTTTGTTATTAATTTCTGATGCGTAATAATCTCTCATCTGTCCATCATAATTTTTTCCTGATTGCATTTTTGTTTCTAATGGCAAGATATTTTCTCCACTGTGATTCCTGAGTACCACCGTCTTCTGAATAGGGCAATGTTTTGCTTTATTAGGGTGGTTGTATTTTTTACACGGTGCAAAAGGATTTTCAGAAACCAGTTCTTTGCCAGGAGGCATAGTTTTCTTCTGTGTTTGTGATCTGTCCACTTTAATAACATTTCTGTCATCTGAAGCCCTTTGTTGAAGTTTTGAGGTGTTTTCTCCGAGTTTTGTAATTTTAGATTTGGCATTAGTGAATCTTGTTAAGCCTTCTCCTCTTTTCAGGAAGGGTCTTTTGGTCACTGGTCTTTGAACAGCTGATCCATTTGTCTCCTGAAAATGAGTAAAGAAAAGTAAACCAAAAAATGTTAAAAAGCTATCACACAGTATGAAGATTTCTTCAAATAAATCTCACATTAGAGTAGGAATTTAGATGGTACATTTCTACTGGATTTCTAAAGACTTAAACAAGTGGAGTATTTCACACTTACTGCTTTATTTTTAGGAATGCAACATGTTAGCTTTCAATACCAGCATGTACCCTGTACATTTTTAAGCACCTATCACATCTTGACACAAAACAGAAAGAAGAATAAAGTTTTTAAAAATATTAATAAATAACCTGCAACTTCTGGTTTTGCTCCAGACGCTGCTCTTCTAGTTGTATCTGTTCTTCCAAGAATTCTTCAAAGGTCTGTTTCTTCTCATGTATTGCAGCTTTAATAGGTCTAGTGTAATTAAAGAAAAAAATATATAAAATAAGCCTATAACAACTCTTATAATTCTCTATAAAATAAATATGTTTAACATCACTGCTATTCAAAGACCTAAGGTGTAATTGTATAAAAGATGACAATTCATGAGGTGTTTCAGTCATTAGGTTAATCTGAGAAATGCATTTTAACACTACATGTTTATCTTTTGAGAAACAGTTTATCAAACCCCTGCAACAGTTAATACACATATATAAAATATATTGTATGCAGGTTTTGGGTTTCTTTCACTTTTCCTCTCTCTACAGGTCTGCAGGTCCCTGTCAGGACCCTGCTCCAGCACAGGCCTCCCATGGGGTCACAGCCTCCTCCAGGTATCCACCTGCTCCAGCATGGGTCTCCTCCACAGGCTGAAGGTGGATCTCTGCACCCCTGTGGACCTCCATGGGCTGCAGGGGCACAGCTGCTGCACCACGGGCTGCACCACGGGCTGCAGGGGAACCTCAGCTCTGGTGCCTGGAGCACCTCCTGCCCCTCCTTCTCCACTGGCCCTGGTGTTTATACTGTTGTTCACATGTTCTCCACTCTGGCCGCAATTTCATTTCCACAGTAACTTTTTATTTCTTCTTAAGTATGTTATCACAGAGGTGTCACTGTCATCCTTGATGGGCTCAGCCTTGGCCAGTGGCAAGTCCATCCTGGAGCCAGCTGGCATTGGTTCTACCAGACATAGGGAAAGCTTCCAGCAGCTTCTCACAGAAGCCACCCCTTAGCCCCCCACTACCAAAACCTGGCCACGTACATGAGAAGGCTTCTGCCACAAGCACTGTCATTAGTTCTTAGCCATATACAGACATTTCACAGAATCAAAAAATGGTTTGAGTTGGAAAGGACCTTAAAGATCATTCAGTTCCAACCCCCGTGCCACGGGCAGAGACACTTTTCACTACACCAAGTTGCTCAGGGCTCCATCCAAACTGGCATTTAACATTTTAAATAATCTTAACTCCTGACTAAAAAGTCACAGTCACACTCCTCCTTCATGTTACTACTTTCAGCACCTAACAGTGGATAGGAGGTTGTAATAAACTGGGAACAATAATTATAACTGCTTATATACTGAGCTATACTAAAACATGCTTCTAACTGGCATTACCCCAGGTTGCACACACACCTCTTCCTCCAATACACAACATCACATCTTTTATAGCACAAGCAATTTCAAGCAAGAGCCTGTCTTATTACAGGTCACCACAGTATCCAGAAAAATTGAATCCTTGGTTGAGAAAGCTACATAAATTGCGAGTATCAGACTCTTCTAATCAGGACTCAGAATTCAACCAAACTTGTGTTATTGATAAGAACTGGGTAAGCATGGTCTGAATTACCTTTCCTCTGTATTAGTCCGCAAATGTTCACCTCCGCTGGAATTTTCAGAGAGATCTGCAATTCCCACACATAAAGAATCAATGGGATTAACTTCGCTCTCCATTAATAGTTCCATCTTTTTTTCTGGACACCACATGTTTTTTCCTATGAAAGTAACAGAATTTTCTTTTTCAGCACATACTTTAACCAGCATTCGGGTCAGATTAAAACCAGAAGGGAGCTTCATGGCAACGTCATCTTAATTCCTACACAAATAGTCCTAAGATTTCCCCAAATTAATTTTTATTTGAATTTGCATTTTCTTTTTATGGGAACATCCAATTACGCATTAAAAAAATTCCACAGACTTTAAATAATCCATTCTGATTGTTTATCTTCTTTGCTGTTGTTAATGTATGGTTTAAAAAAATAAGTGAACAAATTTTGATGTCTGCTCTACTGAAGAGCTCTCTTATCAAGCCTCTGTTTCCCACATATGTATGTATAAATTGAGAAGAATTTGATTTTTGTCTCATACTGCTTTTAACAAAGCTCCCATGGACAACAACAGGAACACTGTGAGGTTTGTAAGCTGTCAGTAAACCAACCAATAAATCAAGTAAACCAACAAAAATCAGAAGATCTTCAAAATAAGCAGTATAAAATTATGCTCAGTAACTACAAGGGAAAAATAACCCACCACCAATTCATCTTTCTATAAATGACTAACCAGTAATGTATTTGTCTTCCTTGTTGTTCAAACAATTTGGCCTTTTCATAGGCACACATGGACCTGGCTTTTCACAGGCAGAAACTTCTGAAAGACTGTTCTTCAAAGATGAGGTGCATTCTTTGTTGTTTAACTTTGGTAAAGAATCATTGTCTTGTGTATACGAAGCAACAATCGGAGCATGAGTTCTGTCTTCAAAGACATTCTGATATGCAGATGATGGCAATTGGTGTAAAGTTGTTAAGCCTGAAGAATGCCCAGGTCTTAGCTTTTGACTTTCAGCTGTTAGAGTATAGCCTTGAAATTAGAAGAAGAAAATGGCTGTGTCATTGTATTTGTATTACAACACTACTGTTCCACAGGAGAAAAGAAATGGCACTGAGGAACAAGACTGATCACCCAGCCTCCAATCTTACATTACTGATCAAGAATAAGTGATTAGGCAATCTTGCTTTTGTTGTCCTAAGATAAGCCCTAAATGAATTGTCACAGAAAATCATTTAAATCAGGTTGAACTGATACTGCCAAGAGAAGAAAATACCACTGCTCAACTCTAAAAGCTTTTTCCAGCCAAGAACTGTCCCCTCTCTCTGTGCACACAGCAAACAGGACTGGAAAACTGATAGAAGTTACAAGTGTTTGTTTTTAAATACAGATCAGCTTTCTAGTCCAGTTCAGATCATTACCTGAACACGATGTGCGTGAACACAAACACTGGGGAACTTCATTTGGCTACACTGCAAGTTTAAAGCAATCAAAAGTACTGTGAGAAACAGCTAATCAGAATGGAAAGTAACTTTGTTTTACACATCATAGTGCATATTGATCAAGTTACAATTACAGCTGGCATTTTATAAAAACAGGACGGTATTCCTTTGACAGCAGCACTCAATTTTTCAGGCACTGAAGCAATGCAACATTTATCTTTGACTAATCAAGTCAAAGATGAAGACTAATCAAATCTTAAGATGAAGAACACAGAATACACTTTAAGATTTTAACTGGAAAATGAGATTAAATTTTTCAGTTTATTCTAAGTACGTCATGTGCTTTTTTTCCTCAACTTACCAAGAGCTGCTGTCTGGCCAGACACCATGCTAAGTAGCTTCTGCTGCTCTTCCATTAGCCACTGAAGTTGCTCCATCTGTTGTTTCTTTAGCTGTTCCTGTTTCTGTCGTTGCAATTCCTTCAGCTTTTCAAACAAAAAAATAAATGTATTAGAGGCTAGGTTTATTTAGAATGTGCCATAGGATTAGCAGCATCAAGAAGCAGGTATTTATTGTTTTAAAGATGCTCCATTAGGCCAGTGCAACAGAGAAAATTAAGAATTTTTCTAAGAATACACGTGCTATTTCCACTTTGCACGATTAACAGTTCCACTCGTCTTTAATTGACCAATCTGCAAAAAAAAGAAATCAGAACATTCATTTCTACTGCGTGGGAAAAACATTTCAATCCTGCTCTTTCAATGTCAACTTCTACTATGCTGTGTTTTTATTAAAGTATTAAATACTTCATAATAATTAAAGCTTTAGAAAAAGTGGATTTTTTTCTTTCCTCTCTCCAAGGTCTCAGTTACAGTGAACAATACTGATGCAAAGGAACAAGAGAGGGGAAAGAGCACTGAGCAACATTAAGACTCATGAAGCTACTTGAAAAAAAAAAGAATTAAAATGCTGATTAAATTCAGTAATCCAATCTTCGTTTTCTTGTGCAGCAGGAGTCCCTGGCCCTGCCTCAATACCAACTTTGAGGGTCATATGAAGGTAGGGCATTCTGTACACTACCAAACCACAGCAATGGGTGGTGAGTCTCTGTGTCCATCTTTGCATCTCCCACGCATACATATGTGCTAGTTCCAGCTCCTCCAAAGGAAAGGTCTGATGAATTCCTTCCACAGATCAACAACTGGGCCACAACTGTCATTCAACAGGTAAGACAAAAATTTCCCTTGAATTTCCCTTGTAGTCCCAGTATAAACAGAAGGCACTATGCAAGTAGAAGTTGTGAGCTAGTGATCAAGATCCAAAGATCACCCGAGTCTCATCTCCAACCCCTTCACTTACTAAATTAATCATACCTGTTCTGATAATAATATCCTCAGAAAACCACTGAAAAAAACTCATGCTGTGACAAGCATCAGATTATTTTTTTGTTAGAGATTGACAATAACTTAAGATACCAATTAACCAGCTAATATTTGTCATTTAGCCACTGACTGATACTGCTGACAATATTTAAAAAGTGAATAAATATTTTCCTATCATGTAAAATACAGGACAAAACTTTTATAGCACCAGGAAAGTTGTGGAATTCTACTCTAGAGACACTCTCTCTCTCTCTCTCTCTCTGTAATTGGGAAGAGCTATAAGCAGACATACAGACACTTACAGTGGATTACCTGACATTCTTGCATTAGAAAAAAAAAGGTAAGTAACATCACAGCATTATAATTCCAGATCTTTTTGTCCTGATGTCTTGGATACTTTAGCACATTCAACACTAACAACTCTTCATCTAAACGGAACCAGTGTTCACACCTACTTTGAGAACCAACAAAAGATGTTGCTATAGATACAAGAACATACAACAAGAACATACAACTTCACTACTTGTGGTGAAATACTACCACTGTAATGACCAGCACCCCATTTCCACAGCTTCAAGTGAAGAAACAATGGGACATTGTAAAACTGTGTGCACCTTTAAAGGTAAAATGATTTTGAGAACAATTTAGCTTTAAACTGGAACCCGCAGTTTCCACCTGGAAACAATGGCAGTTGGACTCTCTGTAACTGCACATCATGAGGAGGACAACAACTTTTATGTGCACGTAACCGTAACTTAGGACTTGCTCTTTAAGCTTGCTGTGGTCTATACATTGCAAGGGGTTTGCTTACTTCCAGACATGACAAATCATCTGCAGGAAAAAACTAAATCTTAATGGGTGTACGTCAAGGAATTCTAGGACTTTTACCTGTTCAAGCCTTTTTAAGAGTGGGTCACTGCAACCGGATTTTTTCTGACCATCCACTTCACCACAGACAAAGTCTGGTTTAGAGCTTTCCACATTACATGCTGCTGCTGGAAAAGATGTTCCAGTGCTGTATTGCTGAAGTGTATGAGAGCTGCCAGACTCTTCACACAGGGAGTCATCACTTACAGAACAGGCGTCTGAAAGATGCAACACTTCGGCAGGTAAAGCTGTGATATTTTCAGGTCCAGGTAACAAATTTTCTTTCTTGAAGTTCAAACCTGTAAAACTAGGATCTAACAAGACTCCAGCACGGGAACTATTGAACATCCAATGTGCAATGAAGTTCTGTTCACCACTCGGATTTTCAACAGTTGGCATCTTGTAAATGGTACTCCACTTTCTTTGCTGATTAGCATTAACATAACAATGTTACGTTATGTAGGGTTAGGACAATATAAATTTCAAAGTTCCAGGTACTTGGTATGGACAGTTATCTACTTTTAGCACCTGAAAATTAAGCAGATAAACAAAATAAGAAATCTACAATAACAGATTCCCAGTAAGCTACCCTCTTTTAACCAATCTGGTGTATTTATAAAAATACATCACAATCAACAGAAAGCATTTGGACAAGAAGTAACAAACACTTTCTGTACAGAATATAAACATAATCCAACTCTTAATCGTTTTATTTGAGTGCAGTTGATATAATTTCAAATACTACAATGCTGTGTATAATATTCTCTTCAGTAGTACAGAGAAGGATTCAGAATTTCCTTTAAACACTTGCAACAAAAGAAGGCAGGTGATGAGTTGAAAGATTTCCCCCACAGGACATTCATATTAATGCAAAGTTTCAAATATGCCCGTCTAAATACAAACATTTTACTACCTATATTTCAATTCAACTCTATCTTTTTTTTGTATTCCTTTGTTTCTCATGGAAACTCTACCACCAAGCCTCTTAGCTTCTTTATCCCAAAAGAAGCCTGTTAGCTTCTTTATCCCAAAAACTTACTTTTTTTTTTTTTTTTGTAATCCATCCAAAAGAAATTTTGAAGACTGCAACATATCCTAAAAGTACCATAAACCATGAACGAATTCAGGTAGGGAGGAGACCCAAAGTGACTTCCTCACTTAGGAAGAAAAAGAGACAGAACTGCTGCCGATGACAGTGTGGCAGCAGGAGCCGGGCCACTCAGCCCTGCTATCTCAAACTAGCCGCAGGGCAAGTAACCCTCTGCTTGTGCCTATGGTGTGTCAGGGGAAACACAGAGGAAAGAAGGGGCAGGGGACAATGGACAGGCAACTACAGCAGCCCAGGCTCAACAGTCCTGGTGATCATGAAATAACTTCATAAAGCTTCCTTGTTCCCAAGGGATCAGTTCATGTCAGCTCTCACTTAAATTTCCTACTGTAAAAAGGCTTATGCTTCCAAGCAGAGTTTGAAAGCACGACTGGGAGAAACAGCGCAATTCCCTTATTGAGATGTTTTCCGACTGCCTTCTGTTTTGTGACGCTACGGGAAGTTTCCCAGTGAGGTGCAGATTCCTGCAGAGGCAAATTCAAGCCCTCAAGGTCCACGGTCTGTTTTACCTGTCACCTTTCGGACACCCTCTGGTCTGAACCTTCCCAGGAAGTTCACGGCAGAGGTGCCAACCGCAGGAGCTGGCAGGGATCAGGCCGACCCGTACCGGGAAGGAGAGGAGGGACAAAGGAATCCCCGCAAAGGTCGACAGTGGGGAGACGAGCACAGCCACGTTCCTCAGCCGAGCCGAGGGGTCGGGCCCGGCGCCCTCCTTCCCTCACGGACACGGATACCGCCCTCACACAGGACGCCTTAAGTGCTCCCACAGCGCCCGCTGCTCCCCCGGCCCCGAAGCACCCGCACCGCGACAGCTCCGACCCGCGGCCCCTCGCAGGTAGCGGGGCGGCAGCCCCATCCCGGCGCCGCTCCTCACGTGGTCCCGCCGCCGCGCCGTCCCGGCAGCCAGCCCTCTCCTTCGATTACAAACCTGCCGCCATCGCACAGCCTCCCGGCGCCACAGGCGGGCACCGCCCCGGCGCGCGGCACGCTGGGAGCTGTAGTTCGAAGGCCGTGGATCCGCCCGGCGGCCGGGCCGGGAAGGCAGGGGTTTGGGACTACAGCTCCCGAGAGCCCCGCGGAGAAGAGGCCGTTAATAGGCATCAGGAGCGAAAGCTCTACCCGGCTCCTGTCCGGAGATATCGGGGCGGGAAGTGGCGGCGGATTCGCTCCGGAGCTGGGACTGCTCCTGGCTCCCGAAGGCGTTCCGCGGGTCCAGGTGACTCTCGGGTCCTCCCCGATGACAGCCCTTCGGGGGGCGGAGCGGAATGTATCTTGGGTCAGCGCCGCTCTGCTGCTGGGGTGAAGCTGCCGGAGTGAGACTTCCAGCGTGCTGTTCCTGCGGCCACTCACACATTTTAAACTTGAAATAGCGGCAGGAAGGCAAAGATAAGTGGGCAAAAAGCAACCCCCGGCTCCCCAACGTTTTGTGCTTTAGGCATGCTTTTACTGAGCGAAATTAATGTTTTCCTCTAAACTCCAGACAAGGATAGAGCATCACGCTCCAAAACCGTGGGGTGTGTCGCCGGCTGTGTCCTGGTTCCGCAGCTGTTGTGGGCAGGTACAAAACCGACCTCTGGGTTGTACAAGCCCAGAGCAGCCCTTTCAGGTGCGTACTACGAGTTTTAATCTCTGCTGTTTCTTCCAACAGTCCCATAGGGCTCTTTCTGCCATACCTCCTATCATTTTTCCTGGACTTTTGCTTGGCAAGTTATGGAATATACTGTCTACATGTGAAAAATAGAAACGCAATCGGGTGATTTCCAATCAGAATTTATTATATAATAAAAGCAGATTCAGCGCTGGATGATCAGGGAGGGGGTTCAACAACTCCCGACGCCCAACTCAAAGAAGACAGTTGTTCTACATTTATTTTCAGCTACTTCGTGAATATTCATTATACATAAGCATAAACATTACACATTGTTAAGTCAGACTTTTAACAGATGTTTTTCTTAACAAGAATGTTATCTATAAGCATCCATAATATATTGCCAAATCAGACATTCAGCAGATGTTTGCTTGTTATCTATACAAAGTTATAAATTTTAAGAAAGTGCTATTATCTAGCTAACTAAACAAAATTCTCTCACTATAAATCCTACACCAGGTAAAAGGGAGGTAACTTGTTTTATCTCTTTATAGGGGCCCAATTAAGTTTTACGATTTGTTTTTCTTTTCTCTCTCCAGGTCATATTGAACTTACACTGTTTCCTCTTAATTAGCTCGAATCATTTTCTCAGTTTATCACATACATGATTGTACTCAGACTGGATTCTGCATTAAGAGTGATAAGTTACTGTGCTAGACTATAGAAGGATTTGTACTCCTGGCTTTCTAAAGCACAGCATCACATTCAGTCCCTTTGACATCTCTAGTAGGAAAATACAGTAGGGGGTGGTTTGGTTTTTGGGTTTTTTTCAATTTATCTTTCAGGACTACAGATTTTTCATAGTCTATTGTTGGATGATAAAAATTTATTTTTGGCTCCCTCTCTGTGCTAAAAATATAATCCATTGCTAACAGTGATGTTGAGTTTGTGGTTTGATCATGAAGTACAAGCTTGTGTGCTTGTGTGAAATCCTCTTGAGGCTACTCATGGATCTCCACCAACATAAATTAAAATTGTAAGAATTAAACCAGTGATAATCTTCAGCAGTTCCAATTTGCGTAACTTCCTTATTTGATGCTGCAACAACACAGTATTCCAATTATAAAAGTGTTTATTAGCAGTTAATCAATTCTAAATACATAGATTAAATACAGTAGGTTTTTATTCTGATTTTGAATTTTGGAAATTTTGCCACTCAAAAACACTGTCAAAAAAACACTGCTAAAATTCCTTAAGAAGTTTCTCTAGGATATTCTCTTAAGAAGTGTTCTCTAGGGAAACAGAAGAGAGGCTACTATCTAGTAATGGCATTAATCAACACTATAAGAGAATGGGAGAATCCCTCACCAAAGGGAGAGAAGAGCTTCTGGGGACAGGCTTTGAACAGGTTTTAACTCAGATTCCTTCTCTCTGTCAGGTATTTCACAGTTCATAGAATCACAGAGTATTCTGAGTTGGAAGAGACCCACAAGGATCCTCAAAGTCCAGCTGCACAGGACAATGCCAAGAATCACACCATGTATCTGAGAGTATCACCCAAACACTTCTTGAACTCTGTCAGGCTTGGTGCTGTGACCACTTCCTTGGGGAGCCTGTTCCAGTGCCCAGCCACCCTCTGGGTCAAGAACATTTCCCAGGTGTCCAACCTAAACCTCCTCTGACACAGCTTTAGGCCATTCCCTTGGGTCCTGTCCCTGATCACCACAGAGAAGAGATCAATGCCTGCCCCTCCTCTTCCCCTCATGAGGAAGTTGTAGACTCTGTGAGGTCCCACCTCAGTCTCCTCAGGGCTGAACAAGCCAATTAACCCAGCAGCTCCTTGTGGCTTCACCTCCAGACCTTTTCCCATCCTCGTGGATCTCCTTTGGATGCTGTCTAATAGCTTAATATCTTTCTTACATTGCAGTGCCCAAAACTGCACACAATATTCAAGGTGAGGCCACACCAGTGCAGAGCAGAGCTGGACAACCCCCTCCCTCAACTGGAGGACACTGTGAGAGACAGTTTCATAAGCTTTACTGAAATCCAAAAAGAGTGCATCAACTGGCTTCCTTTGATCAACTAGGTGGGTTACCTTGTTGTAAAAAGAAATGAAGTTTGTCAAGCAGGACTTTCCCCTATGGAACCCATACTGGCTGTGACTGATGACTGCATTGTCCTGGTTTCTTTTGTGTTAGGAGAGAGTACTTTATGCTAAAAGTGCTACTAATGAAAAAGAAAGAACCCAAACCAAAACAAATGCCCTTTGATGTACTATCTACCTGACCTAAATGCACATATTATTACCATTATAGAGTTGCCAGTTCTATCAGGTATATAGTGTATACAGACATAGATAAAATTGTGTCTGATAGTGTTGATTTTCCAGGTTTACTGAAACACCAAATTCAAATGGATTATGTTGCTCTCTCTCCTTGACCAACTATTTCTTATTTTTTAGCTAGTAACTTATGTTATTCCACAGTAGCTGGCCATCTGATTCCTTTTTTACTGCACTGAAGAAACAGTGCATACATTGAAAATCAAATAGGTCATAGAGTAAGAAAATAAACATATTCCTTAAATGAAGTATAGGTAACATGCTCTAAATCTCACCCTAATATTACTTTAGGCTACTGTGTTTTGTTGGAGGGGTTTTTTTTCCTGAAACCTTATCCTAATAATCTCCTCTCAGCTTGGGTCCTTGATAAATTAATCAAACCATAATCTTATCTTAGATTTTGAAATGCTGATGTCAGTGCCGTTTAAACGTTTCTTCTGCATTGTTACTGTCTCTTGGTTTATTCCATGTCCACACTACAGGGGAATCTTTCTGCAGGGTTGATGCAAAGGTTTTGTTGACTTGTAAAGGCTTTGATGCTATTTGACCAATACTAATTTTAAAGCCAGAAGGACCTACTGGGTAATTAAGTTCTTTGGGTTTAGTACTAAGAAACTAGTAAAGAAGCCGTTCTCATAAATGTTTCCTCATCTGTACATACATACAGCAGAAAAATGTGAATTAGTAAATGAACGCAAGTACTTCAAAAAGCATCTGCTTTCCTTTTTTTTTTCACTCTTTAATGTAGATGTTGTTTATTAATAGAAGTAGGAGGACAGAAGCTTAATCAGAATTTGCAGTCTATGTGGAACTCTCATTAAGCTAGAGAAAGGTCATTTTTGCTCCTAAAGGCCTCCCCAAGAGAGAGGGCAGTTTCATATCAGATGTTTTTGCCTAACACAAGAAGTGCTTTCCTTTCACATTAGCTTTGAACAAGCAGTTTCTGATTTGTTCTGCCTCATCCTGTGAGTCCAGGATGAATTTGGAGAGGTCAAGTATTCTAGAGGTTCAGCTCTGTCCAGTTATCTCACAAATAAAATTACTAGTCCTTAAGTCACTGTGGAAAATTTACATCATCAAGTAGGTTTTTCAGATATATAAACAGAGTAAAAGTCTTTACCAGTGACACTGATACAAACCCTCTGGATGAGATATGGACATGGTGTACTGGGATCCAAACTTTCATTAGTAAAAAGAATTTATGACCTGAATGTTTTGATTTACAAGCATATGTTCTCTTCACGCTAGTTACTAGCAGTGCGTCTGCATTAGCAGTTTGGGTTGGAGGAGTGATGCAATTTTAAGCCAAATCAAGAGCTGCCTTATGTTAAGTTCTCAAAGTGGTTTTGAAGTTTGCCTTTCGGAGAAAACTAAACTGGGTACTGTGCTTCAAATAAGTTTAATGGGGGCATTGTTTTTGGCTTTGTTCTGTCTGAACCCACCCAGTCACAAGACCCGCTAGCTTGCATTTAACACTCATTTACAGCTACCGA